CTTGATAAATGTCTCCTTCCTGCCTTCTGACAAGTCAACAACAAGCAGCTGGGTGAGTAGATGAATTTAGATTTCAGCTTGCAGCATTTGAAATGTAAATTGCTTGCAATATTTCAACAGTGTCACGAGTCTGGCCACTCACCTCGGTCTGGTCAGTGGCCTGATCTGCAAAACTTTTCTGGACACCCAGCAGGTATGGTGTGGGTGCCATGACGACGTCGATTAGGATTTCGGGAACAATGGAAATGAGCGTGTGCTGCCAGATGAATGGATACAGGAGAACAGTCACTGCGTGGATCACCTGAGACAACGTCCTGCAGAGATAGTATGGCCTTGATTAATATGGGTTATACATATGGATATAAATCAAAGCAAAACCTAGCACTTGTGTGTGTGCATGTATGTCTGTTTTAGTACCCAAGCTCGTCAGCGATGAAGATGATCCTCCGCTCTAGCACAGTAGCAGCAAACACCTGGAGCACCTCCTCATCTGAAAGGCATTTGAACAATGTGCGGAAATCTACATGCTCCAGCCAGGAGTCTGTCGGACGAGTCAAACTGATGATCTACAGAGAGACATACAGATACTTTATTATAGGTACAGTACATATTTTATTATTTACAAAAAACAGTTTGGGGATAACAAACTAGAAGCAGACAGATCATTTATTTGTCCATGGGGAGGAAATTTGTTTCCACAGTGGTTGGTGCGTATATAGCACAAACACATTTAACACAAGACAAATCAACTTATCATGATACAATCAAAAAAACAAAGCAAGTGCAAGTGCACACGATGACATATCAATGGCTGATTTCCTATCTTTAGGAGTTTGTTCTTATTAGTAACTGTAAGTAACTGCTACTAATTTAAGCATTTTTGTAGCCTTTTACAATATGTGACTAGGCAATAAGCCTTAAAAAAATCATTAATTCGTTTTTAGCAATCTTGTGTGCTCTGATATTTTATTCCAATGAACAAGTTCAAAGTGATTCAGTGATTCATTTGAATCATTGCTAAATATTTTAGTCCATATATTTTCCATACAGTGATATAAATTGGGTTTGTTCCTTAGTTTTATTAGTTGTATTTAGTGTAACATTTTTATGTTTGATGTTTTCAGCCTAACTGTGATCCTCTTTTTTTTGTCATATGTAGCTGACTACCTTTTCTCAAAATTGAGTACCTTCAGATAGATAGATAGATAGATAGATCTCAGAATTATGGGTTTTATAATAATATGAGGTATGTTCAGAACACTTGATTGGAATGTTACATAGAAAAGCTGAAGGAGAAGTTCAAGCAGAACTAAGTCAAGTTGGTACAAAGCATGAGGACATACCTGCACGAAACAGCTCAACTTTGACCCTTTTTCCCTGAGCTATTACTTCACTCACTTCAATTTCCTGCTTTTTTGCCAGAGCTGAGGAGGTGTGTGTTTGTGGACAGCATGTCTCTGCCTGCCTGCTCTGCCGCTTGTTTGGAATTAGAGACGTATTACTTTACACCTCCTTTAATGTACTGTAATTAACACTCTATGGTTTAAAATTACTGGGGAAAATACATGAAAAAACTGATTTTATTCTCTACCACGATTTCACACCCTCAATCAATTTCCTTTTCCTCTTTTTTTTGTGTTTAATAGGAAATGACAGGCTAACATCAGTTTTTTGTTGTTGTTTTTCTGTTGACTCAACTGCTGCATATACAGTGGAAATCAATGGAAAGTGTAGCAGCTGCTGGCTTTCCCGACACTGCATCTGTAAGTCATATCTTACAATAACCACAATTGTTGTGAGTCATTGTTCAGACAACGATGTCAGGAGTAATAGTGTGGCATGTACAATATGGAGTCCCTCTAACCCTAGTCTCAACCAGATGGCATTTTCAGACTGACTAGCCATTCAGACAACCCTCGAGATTTAGAAAAATTGTAGTTTCATCACTAGTTCTTACCTCAGTGCCTCTTTCTGGAATAAAACTTTTGATATTAACAGTGTGTCCAGGGGCAGGAAACGCAGATTCCCTCAGGCTCTGCATAAATGGGTAAATCATTGCCATTGAGATTTTTCTTCGCTGTTCCACCTCATCAAAGATCTAAAACATCAAGAAGGCAGATTGAACAAACAGGAAAACTTTTTTAAAAATATATATCGCTTTCAATGGAAATAACAGGTGAAAAACTAAAATATACAGTAGTTCAAAAGGCTGGATTTCTTTTGATTAATTACTTCTATTCAGCAAGAATACATTAAAAATTACCAAAAATTCATCAAAAGACAGTTATAATGTTACAAAAGTTTTCTATTCCACATAAATATTAAGCAACACAACTGTTTTCAATATTGGAAAATAATAAGAAATGTGTCTTGAGCACAAAAGCAGTATATTAAGATTATTTCTGAAGCATCATGTCACACTTAAGACTGGAGTAATGACTGTTAAAAATTCAGCTTTGCATCACAGGAATAAATTGCATTTAAAATGAATGTAAATAGAAAACTGTTATTTTAAATTGTAATAATATTTCCCAGTATTCTCCATATTTCCCTGTAATGTTGGTTTATGTTCAATCTATTCGGGAGAGCAGTAAACACATAACACCATATATTATTGAAGCATAAGCGTCGACAACTTTGCAAACACCCGAATTTAGAATATGCCCATTTCTTTAAGATCACATTAGCTTAAGTCATATCACATTAGTCTTTGATGTTTGTCCTGAACAAACAAACTAATTTACAATCATGAGACAACGTTCACCTAAAAAAAAAAAAGTACCTGAACAAAGTTCAGCTCAAACAAACAAAATACACTCCAATAACTATAGCGTTAAGCTCAGACAGCAAATAGAAAGCTCAACAAAGAGATCAATCATTAGACATCCCTTTTCAGACAAGTAAATTACTTTATATTAGCAAAGACAATAAACTCTGAATTAATACAAAGTCAGAAAAACAAAAGGCAATTCTCTCAAATGCAAATCATAAAAGCCCAAAGGCAGTTACAGATGACTGTGCAGTAAATTATGATGTTTACCTTGGAAAAGAGTCCAAAACAGGCTAAATTACTGATGATGCAGTAGGCCTCAGGCAGACGAGCCCCCTTCCCATCAGGCTAATTAAGAAAAGAGCAACGACAAGAGAAGCAAGCTTTCAAAACACTACAAAACACTTTAACTGCATGTGAGTGAGAGTTCTTTGGAAAGAGTTGACCTTATCTTGTCTTTTCATGCATTACAAAATAACTAAATTTCCGAAGAAAAGGTAAGTGGTGCTTTCCCTGTTGCTAGTGTTGTTAGTGGGTTGCCGTGTAAGATTAACACATAGGAATAGGGATTTATTCGAATGAGTAATGGGCAGTGATGAGTGTGCGCATAAATAACAGGAAGTATCACTAATGAGCCCAGTCATCATTTACCAGTAGCCTCCTACAGTATCCATTCTTCCTCGTTCCATCTACATCTGTAAGCACGAAAGAGAATGTTTCACTGTGAAATAGAGAAAAAGAGAGACAGTGAAAATACAGTTTCTGCCTCCACAAGGCATGCTGGGAGAAACGATGCACGTGGTTACAGTACCTGGGATATTCTGTTAAGGGCGCCCAGTTTACACCCTCTGGGAAGCAAAAGAGTGTGAGCGCCTTTAATGTCTTCTCTTCCTCCTCCTTCTGAAATCGCACCATTCCATCCTTCTGTACTCAATAGAAAGAGAAAAAGACAAATGGAGAATAAGACTACAAAAATGCAAATGGTCTTTTTCATTCATATAGATCTCATTAATATGAGAATGACAATGAATGAGCTATATAAACTTTTTTTCACACACATATATATATATATATATATATAATGTATTAATGTATAAATATTAATTGAAATATTTCTACAATGCAATTATATTTTCTGGGATTTTATCGATAACGGTAATTAGATGATATTTTGCTGAGTGTGTTATTGTGCTGATATCTTAAGGACTACCGTGGACAGCTGACTCCTAAAGTTTTTGATATTCTGCATATTCTGTGTTGTGATCAGTTCACAGCATTTAATCTTCCATTTAATCACAGAAATTAATCTTTTCCAATAAGTTTAAATAGATTTTTACCTTTTATGGGCCTTTTTACCTTTATAAGGCCATTTCTAAAGTGTGCATCATCTTTTCAGTCCAATTCTTAAATTGAATCGGTCAATTAGAATAATAAGTCATTTGGGCTGTTACCAAGCAAATGAAATCAGTATTGACAAAATTCATCTTTGCAATGCAGAGGAAACACAGAAGCTGCATTAGAAGTGGCATTTAGATGCATTTACACACTGTTTAATGCAGGACATGAATGCTTTAACCTGCAGTTACAAATGCATAAAACGTTGAATACTGATATTTGAAATTTTTTGATGGATGAAATGGTTGATTCATTCAGGAACGAAACACAGTCATGTTGCTCAGCGATGCAAATTAGTTTTTTTTCAAAGTCGAATTATACTTGTTGGCGAAATAGAGCAAAAACAGTCAATATTGTGTCTAAAACGTAAGTATCTTAATATTAAATTCTTGTTTATTGAACTGCTGTATAAAATCAATATCACATTTGTAACCATGCTGTTTTTTTGGTGAAAAAAACCTCAGTCTTCGTGTGATACTGATGAACTATATGACATATGAAACTATATGAAATGTTAGGGTTAACCCATATACATATATACGTTTCTGCCCCCATATCTTGAATTTTGTGATCATTCTAAATGCATTTTAATAAACTGAATCATGCAGTGAAAGAACACGCACTGGTCTAACCTACTAGACTTCCTATTGCCTTAGCTAAACTTTAGCTAATTTACATGCTAATTTACATGCTAGCTCTCATGCAGGGTCATATTAACCATAGGGCTGAAGCCCCGGGGCCCAGACAAGGAGGGGGCCCGTGATTGACTGTGAAGAATATTGACTGGCCAACGGTAACGCCGATCGCCAAAGCCCCACCATGCCCCCCACTTATTAGCGCTATTATTTAGTGGAGCTTTTCCATAAATTCCATGCATTACCATTAAGAGATTAAAATGTCCTGTTTGAATTTGGTTTACCAATCAAATGGATTAATTCTATATTTAACATTTTAACCACACATGCACGGTGATCGCTGCGCCTAATGTCTGCATTCACCTCTCTTCACTTTGCTCTGGCGTAATCTGGGAATGGTTATGCAAAGAACAAACTTCGATAAGTAAAAAATGTCAACTATTCTAAAGAAAAAAACTGAGGAGAGAGGGGAAACCATGAGTTAGTCAGTAAAATCCCCAGCTATCAGGTTATTTTACTAAAGCTAATGATGGAGTGGAACACCAAGTGGACTGGGCACATGCAGCAGATAAAAAGACAGCGTTGATGTCTATGTGTGCACGTGCCTGTTGGATTGGTCAACTTGACGTCATTCACCATAATAATCAATGAATATTCAAAGATATGCAAGTGTATAACTTGCTGTTGTAGACGCACACAGTCAAAGTGCTCAAAGGTTCGCAGACCGTTCTAAAAATGGCGGATGGCTTACGTATCGCGGCCCATAGAAACAGTCGCTAATGAGGCATCTACGTATGTATATGGTTTTGGGTATTACATTATACATTTTTACTATAACTAGTTAACTTATTTCATCTTCATAAGAACTAGGCCTATGTTAAATAATAAAATAAAAAAAATCTAATAAATAATATATACATTTTACAAAGGATATTTACATAATATATGCACGACTTAACCTATCAATTTAATTTGCGTTAAAATTGAAAAAGTTTTAACATGTTACAATAGATACACTTGTCTGTTTTAAAAACAAACAAAAAATGTATAAACAATAAATCCTTTTGCAAGATATATATTATAAAAGTTCTGATGAAGTTCTTCCAAACAACCAAATTTTACTCCAAACTTAAATGTATATAAATGTAAATAATGTGAATTAAGCATTTACTAATTCATTAAATGTAATGCAAGCATTAAAAAATGTTGTTGAATTGTTATTGAATGTAAATAATGCTACAGAAGTACTGAATACTTTCTGAAGGGCTACATGTGGCTGCATGCAGAGCACAGGGTTCGTATGTGTCACCTTAGGGAACTGATAGATGATCTGTGGCTCATATATCCCATCTTTGGTCTTTTTAGGCCGAACCACCACCAGATATTCGAAGAAAAACTGCCCGCTAGCGTATCGCTGCTCCTTTGCCTTTTCTTCCACGTTAGAGAGCTCTGTGCTAGCAGGCAGATCTGGTTCCTTACCAGTTCCTACAAAACACACACACACACACACACACACACACACACGTTAGCTTCTGTGATGTTTACCTCTTTTTAAAAACAAATCAACACAAATGCTCTGGAACCAAACTGACACTGTTTCCAGTCCAATGAAGAGGATATACTACCAAACCAACTGTTTATAAATGTTTGATTTCTGAACAATCTAAAAATGTTGCTCTTCAGAAAGAGCACTTGAAATGCTGATCAAACAGGGAATGCTGAACCACGAAAAAAGTACAAACAAATTAATGATGAGAAAGACGGAGCTCTTCTGTGAATTTCCTTAACATTTCCTTTTGAGCCTGCTTTTTGGCAACCTCCCCCAACACAGAGCAAACAAAGCCGACAGGAATACCATAGGAGTCCGCTAGGTCAGAAAGTCTTGTTCTAGCTTGACTTGCCTCACCATGGAAACCTTCAATGTGCCTTTCTATAAAGGACAGAATAATAACTGCTGCTTGTAACTGAAAAGACAAGACGTGCACTAAAGGACTGATGCAGATTGTGTGCTTTGACTGACTTTGTGAACCTCCTTGTGACTTCATAAATGAATTGTAAATGAACAACATCTTACAAATATCTTGAATTGGAATATTTGAGCACAAAACTGCAGTTTGAAAGACTAATTCGTTTAGGCATTTTGCCCTACTTACACTACGAGACGAGAATGAGTCATGCTGAAATGTTTTGACAAGGTTAACTACTTTTATATGCAATATAAGTCAGTGACCACAGTTAAAGATAACGTTTTACATAGTCAAGCTTTGTAGTGCATTCATTAAAGATGCTTTTTTTGTCACTTAAAGCTTAAAAACAGACCTGGAGAGATTCTTTAAGTAGCTAGATATGTGTTTTATAAAGCAATACTTAAATGACGTTTCTCACTGTCTTTGCTGATTTTCCCCCGGAAGGATGAAAATAGGGTACTGAACCTCTTCATGGCTCCCATGTCTGGTTGATCTTCACCTGGAAGAAGGACACCTGAGCAATAAAATGCACAAAAGCGAACAGAAAATGAATCAACATGCAACCACACAGAATTGCTCAAGAAAGCTCAGAGATGTTACCAGAAATGGCTTGATCGCTTACTCATGTTTGGTTATTCACTTCCTAAGCCAAAGAGGTTAGTTTTGACAGCTGAAATGTAAATTGTGAATTCAACGGATGTCATTTATTCTTTCCCACATTACTATATTTTCCTCCCAAGAAACCACAAAGACTCTTGCTTAACTTGCTTTGTTTGTTATTTAAATACCACATGCCAGATAGTTAACTGTAAAGAATCAATATCTCCAATACAATATTGTGACAGCATGATAAATCTAAATAACCAACAAAACTGTTAACTTAAGGTCTTAGACATGCATGCAGACAGACAGACAGACAGACAGACAGATAGATAGATAGATAGATATTAATTGCAAATTAAAAATATATAGGGAAAAAGTGGCAATGTTATAATCTTCTATTATATCAGCTCCATTAAATACGTTAATGGATATTAATATTAATATATGAACAATTTATACAGAATCACTAGAGCACAGTTTGTTTTAACTTACTCCGGTGTTTACGTGGGTTCGCCTTCTTTCCTCTTCTTTTGACATTAGAGGGAGTAATTCCGTTCATGTTCGAATCTCTTTGCGTAAAGTTTGTCAATTAAAGTGATATTTATGTCGTGAAATCACAGAAATCTTTCCCACGGACGCGCAAGATCTCTAATTGTGAATTCAACGGATGTCATTTATTCTTTCCCACATTACTATATTTTCCTCCAAAGAAACCACGAAGACTCTTGCTTAACTTGCTTTGTTTGTTATTTAAATACCACATGCCAGATAGTTAACTGTAAAGAATCAATATCCCCAATACAATATTGTGACAGCATGATAAATCTAAATAACCAACAAAACTGTTAACTTAAGGTCTTAGACATGCATGCAGACAGACAGACAGATAGATAGATAGATAGATAGATAGATAGATAGATAGATAGATAGATAGATAGATAGATAGATATTAATTAATTGCACATTAAAAATATATAGGGAAAAAGTGGCAATGTTATAATCTTCTATTATATCAGCTCCATTAAATACGTTAATGGATATTAATATTAATATATGAACAATTTATACAGAATCACTAGAGCACAGTTTGTTTTAACTTACTCCGGTGTTTACGTGGGTTCGCCTTCTTTCCTCTTCTTTTGACATTAGAGGGAGTAATTCCGTTCATGTTCGAATCTCTTTGCGTAAAGTTTGTCAATTAAAGTGATATTTATGTCGTGAAATCACAGAAATCTTTCCCACGGACGCGCAAGATCTCTGTTCTGCCGCGAATGAGCTCGCGCTGCTGATGTCTGATTCGCGAATCAATGGTTCATTTTAAAACGCAGTTCATTCGAACCGAGTCGCAACCCGTTCGTGAATCATTTGACTGTTAGGAAGAGTCAAACAGCATCATTTCTGAAACAAAATCGAAAATATAGTGATAAATAGCATTATACAAACAAATCCCGTTTCACTGCAAAAAAAGAAAACCGTGCGGGACGTCTGAGTAAATCAATAAAACTGTCCGAACGAACCGAATCGGTGAAAAGAAGTGAAAGGCAGGTCTGAAGACACTTCAAATGATGTAAAATGTCTTCTAAGTCTCTTTCTCGGCTCTTCAATGCAGCTAGTCCAGAATTGATCTGAACCGCAGGTACTTGGATGACACTGCTGTGACATATAAATGACATAATTTATATGAGACTGTATACTTTGCATGTCCGCGTTTGTTTGTCTTTTGATGCCTTAATTACCAGGTGACTCTTGTAAAAGAGATTTTAATCTCAATGAGCTAACTTAATAAACAGTGTTGGGGAAAGTTACTTTTAAAAGTAATGCATTACAATATTGCGTTACTCCATAAAAAAGTAACTAATTACGTTACTTAGTTACTTTTTATGGAAAGTAATGCGTTACGTTACTTTTGCGTTACTTTTAAAATCTGGACAGGGCTTGCTTGTTTGTTTTTAAAATAAAAAAGTTCTATTTTTGGCAAATATAAAAGCCTTTTCACACCAAAAGTGAAATGAATAAGCCTCAGGCTGAAGGGAAAGTACATTTACGTCCGTACAGTAGAACGCAGGAGAAGAAATTTCAACACTTCAGCAATAAATAAAAACACACAAATGTTGTCTAGAGTCATTTTTGCTTATTAGTACGCTTGAACTGGATCATCGAAGGTCAGAAGCAAAGACATTGGTTAATAGAATGGGATTAAATACAAAGCATATTTGTGTTGTTTAACATTTCATTATTGCAGGTTCGCGTCATATTCTGAGTTGCATTATTTTTATTCATTTTGAGGAATACTGAATCTGTGAGTGAGAAGTATTAATGCATATTCATATTTTAGATCTACAGTAACGTCTTCTGATTTCTCTCAACATGGGGACAGGAGAGCTGTCAATCAATAAATTGGAAAAAAAAAAGTAACTTGCGTTACTTATTTGAAAAAGTAACTCAGATATTCTCTTGTAAATTAAAAAATAATGCGTTACTTTACTAGTTACTTGAAAAAAGTCATCTGATTACGTAACTCGCGTTACTTGTAATGCATTACCCCCAACACTGTTAATAAGTTTGCTAACTTAATAACACTTGCCAACAATAACGCATCTGCTGGCTTCATCCTAAGGTTGATTCACTTTGGTAGAAATCCACAAGAACATTCTCAGAGAGTTACAGCCTCATTTTATATAGCCTATATGTATTGACTACAAGAGCTTTATTTCTGAATAAACTGGTTCACAGATCTGCCAATGCAAACATACTGAAAACACTATTTATTGCACATATCAAATGTTGAAAAGTCTTACCTTTGTTGGTCTCAATTTCTGTATCCGAGAGAGTTCTTCTCTTATCTGTGTCATCTTCCTCTCCTTGAGATCTTTCTGTAGGCCAAGACAGAGACAACTGACCTTCGTGCTAGTACCTAGAAGTGTTAATTCGTCTGTACACTTGCAGTTTATTTATAAAGCAGGGCACATTTGGATGGCCTGGTGTGTAAACTGAGTGACTCACGTTCACGTCGATCACTTCTAAAAGAAGAAAACAATCTTCTTCTGAAATAATTTTCCCCTTCATCCAGTGGCGCTCTAGCTATAGTAGTCAAAAATACAATTGAAAGGATTAGGAATCTTTCTAGAATGCAAATATGTTGAGATTTGAAACATCTTTTACTGCTTTAATCGTACACGCATGAATAAACATCAGAATATTGTTTTGTTTTGTTTTACAATTAATTTAAATTCATAAACTACTTACTCTTTGAACGCACAGAGGAGAACGCCCAGGTTTTCCTGGAGGATGCCATTGTGTCACCTACAAAAAACATGCACACTTAAGTTTCACAAGTTTCTTCAATATTTTATTATCTCAGTCACAGTCAGAAAGAAATTCATTGCAACGTAACAAAAGAGAACCTTGTCTTATGTCAAATTCGTTGCTCCTTAAATGTGAGAAACTTCCTAGGTTTTTTCCCAAGGAACAAGGTTATAGTCCTTTGGGTCCTTAAGTAAATATTAACTTGCAGACTCTTCGTCATTAATGGAAAAATTCTTGACACTCCCTTGACTGCACATGTGTCCAGAGATCACAGGCATGAGTAACCTCATACCTGCTGCATTGTTCCCAACGCCAATAAACAGCAAGCTTCTAAAACAACATTTTATTTACATGAAAAGCTTATAACTAAATCATTTTGTGCTTCTAAACCATACTTTATGAACAGTCTCTTTGCACCACAGTTATAGCGAAGCAAGCTTAACGAAATGAAATAAGGAAAATGCTTTTGCTTATACATACTGCAATACTTGCACTCTTCAAAGGTACTTCCTGTGATAGACACTACCACAGGAAGTATCAGAATTGTGGTGGTTTTGTTGTAGAGAGGTCAAACAGTAGCGTCACATGAGGTTTGCGCTTATATCTGAGCCAGAAGTCCTGTTCACATGGTCATCTTTAACATGATACAATGCCATGAAGCAACATGTACTTGTTAAAACAATCTGCATAAAATAGACTGTGTGAATAATCTAGTTATGAACTAGTAATGTAATAATTTTAATGGAAATAAGAATGAAAAAAATACATCAGTAAAAATGTGTTCAATGGTGAATTGTAAGTGATAATTTTACATTTAAACAGACATTTAAATTACATTTAAGTTGACTGAAATACAGTAAAAATAATTCCAATAATTACATTAAAATATTGACTATTACGTAAAGTTTTGATAACTATTCTAAAGTTTGGAATTCGTTTTTTTTTTTAAGAAATCAATACTTTTATTCAGCAAGGACATATTAAACTGATCAAAAGTGACAGTAAACATCTATAAGTCACAAAAGATTTAATTAAACTTTCGAATCATCCAAAATCCTGCAAATGTATCATGCTTTCCACAAAAATATTAAGCAGCAGAACTTTTTTCAACATTGATGATGATGATAATAATAATATTACCGTCTAACTCTAGCACTCTCTATTCTAATTCTATTCTTTAAAAAAAAAACACTTGCACTCTATTAATTTACTAACTGCTTGTTTTCTTACCTAAAAAAAACTAACACTAGCTCTTCTAATCTTTTTGTATTCTATCTATTTGTTTTCTTTTTATTTATTATGCAATTAATAAAAGCAAAAAAGGCCTCTAACACTAGCTTGCTCTATTCTTTTTCTATTCTATCTGTTTTCTTTTTATTTATTATATGATTTTTTTTTTTAAAACTGCTACGTGAACTGCGTTAAGCTAACTGAGACTTGTTATAGCACTTGTATATCATTGCTCTTTTGTTGATTTTGATTGCTTCCATTGTCCTCATTTGTAAGTCGCTTTGGATAAAAGCATCTGCTAAATGACTAAATGTAATAATAATAATGATAAATATATATTTCTTGAGCACCAAATCAGCACAATAGAATGATTTTTGAAGATCATGACACTGAAGAGTAATGACTGCTGAAAATACAGCTTTGCCAACACAAGAATATATCATATTTTAAAAGATATTAAAACAGAAAAATGTTTTTGTTTTCAAATATTTCTGAATATTTTATTAATCAAATAAATGCATCTTGAGCATAAGACACTTACAAAAACATTAAAGAAACGTTTGAATGGATTATAGTAATTTGCTGTCAAATATTGTTCAGTAAAAATAAATGTACAAAAATACCTGAAACATTGTCACGGTGTTATTGTTATTATTTATTTTAATAATAATTCAAAGTTGTGTTATCTATTAATATATCGTTAATTTAGCTTTGTATCAAGAATTCTGTCCTGGTAAAACTGTTTATTCTCAGTCCTTCAAACAAGAATCTCTATCCTCTCCCATAGGTTTATTGCCATGTTTTTGTGAAAGACGTGGTCGTTAGTATACTCTGAGTCTTTTTATAGCTGACTGTATTCCCCACAGGACGACCTCAGGTCAGCAATAGGTCTTCCTGTTGCCCCAGTGATTCTGTCTCAGCAGTAATGTGGGAATATTTTGAGGATACACATGACTTTTGTATGTAGCGGTTGTTCCAACTTCCAACCTATTGTACACTCTTAAAAATAAAGGTGCTTCACGATGCCATAGAAGAACCTTTTTGTCTAAATGGTTCCATAAAGAACCTTTAACATCGGAAGAACCTTTCTGTTTCACAAAAGGTGCTTTGTGGCGAAAGAAGGTTCTTCAGATTATAAAAAGGTAAGAAAGAGATGGTTCTTTAAAGAACCTTTGACTGAATGGTTCTTTCTGGAACCAAAAATGGTTCTTCTATGGCATCGCTTGAAGAACCTTTTGAAGCACCTTTATTTTTAAGAGTGTATTTGGGCCTTAAAGAGCTCATTTATGTTATTTCAGATCCAGATAGTGACATAAATGCTGTTCGGAGCCTTAATTTCAGTGTAGATCGGAAATTGGATAGCGTTTTCCACCATTCCTATATAATAGAACTCTGTCGAATCTTTAAAATAACAATATTCGATAAATAAAGGTGTCCGAGAATCCTGTTTTTTCCTGGTGTCCTTTATTGCTCAGAACTGAACAGACAGACAAGAGGCTGTGCCGGCTGCTGGGAAAAGGAGAATATCCTCCCCTCCTTGACTCCTCCTCCACACATCAATCAATCATTAACTCTTCCATTCATTCACCCACTCATTCCCTCTCTCTCTCGCTCTCTCATTATTCAAAATGAAAGGCTATTCATCATGTGATGAATGTGGTGGGACAGTAGCTGACATCTTTTTGCACTGCACAGATGTTTTATAAACAGCTCCTCAACATAGTTCACAAACTACTTTTATTCCTTTTTGTCCAGTTGTTGTCTCTTATCATAATACAAATCAGATTGCACTGCATCAATGACTGAAACTTTGATGACAAGATCTGAGCTAGGATCAGTCTTGTGAAAGGTAACGTTGACTCAAGAATACCTGGGAGGAGTGCAATTCTCTTTTAACGAAGGCTTAGAAAACAGATGTCCCTGCATGTCTCATGCAACAAAAACTCACTCTGACCCTAAAAAGACATTTACTGGAATAACATGTTCATTTAGAAGCGCTTTAACCAGGTGGCAATGCTTTTTAGAATTAGTTTGAATTTTTAGCAGTTAAAGGGATTGTTCAGCCAAAATTTTCAAGGTAATTACACTTAAAAATAAAGGTGCTTCAAAAGGTTCTTCAAGCGATGCCATAGAAGAACCATTTTTGGTTCCACAAAGAACCATTCAGTCAAAGGTTCTTTAAAGAACCATCTCTTTCTTAGCTTTTTATAATCTGAAGAACCTTCTTTCACCACAAAGCACCTTTTGTGAAACACGAAGGTTCTTCAGATGTTAAAGGTTCTTTATGGAACCATTTAGACAAAAAGGTTCTTCTATGGCATCGTGAAGCACCTTTATTTTTAAGAGTGTATATGACAGCCTATTTTTTGTGTAAAGAGGGCAAAAGTCATTTGGTTTGATTTTTTGGTGGTTTTAGATAGTTGTATTTTCATTCACAATCATTTTTTATTTTATTTTATGGCAGTCTGGGGATTCTGCGAAATTTGTTTCATGGAAGAAATAAATGTATCCACTCGTAAAAGCACTGAATGAAATATAGTTTCCCACCTCATATGACAAGTTTAGCGAGCAAACGTTTCTCGGGCGAAAGGTTTGCGAGAGAATGCAAAAATAATTTTTGTAATCATTTTCCCAGGTCACAAAAATAAAAAAATCAGTTAGTCTATGTATAAATGTTTGATCGAATATTTGAAGAATTAAATCCACGTCACGCGTTACCTCAGGCTCTTTCAGATAGGGATGCGGGCGATACCCCTTATTTTGTTTTCGATACGATACCGATATTTTTCAAGGCAGTATCATCGATATCGATACCAATTTGATACTTCTGCACTAAACTTTTAAATTATGAAATTATGAAATTACTAAGAGTAAAATGGGTAATGAAAACCACTTAACTTTGTTTAAAACGCATTTAAACCCGTTTAATCAAAAAATGTTCCCAGACATGAAAATATCCAAATGATGTGTCATTAGTAACCCTTTGAAATAATAATTTTTTTTTTTTTTTTTTGGAAAAGTGTGTGAAAATTTTTATTTTATGGTCAGTCACAATTGTAACCGGTGGGATAATGTGTATACTGAATTAACATATTTCTGCAGTCTTAAAAATTGTTATATATCTTAGCCCAGCTATTTTAAACTGTTTGATCACATTCTAGGGTTACTATTATGCATTAAAAAACCCTTATACAACATTGATAAGAATACTGAGATAAAATACAAAAAAAACATATATCATCATATTTTTATATTAGTGCTACCAGTATTACAACATTAATATTCTAACTTATTTGGAACACTTGAACTTTTGATTTAATGTAATATTTTGTACTGCCATTCGGGACTGCCAGTGAATGGCTGTTGCATGCATAAAATGCAACCTTTACATGATCAATATTATCTTTCAACGTTCAAATTAAAATAATTGTAATTGCACAAACTATATAGGCTACAATTTCAATTTGTTTATTGTGAAATAACTCAAACATTTATGTTTTTTCTCTGTCCTCTGATAAGCATTGTTCAGGGCTGCCATTCCCAAAAGCTTTAATGCTTTCTTATGATACTTTTGGGAAACGCAGCCCTGTTTGAATGCACTGTCAGCAGTGAGTGAATGCTCTCTGTGATTGGTTCTGTCTTGAGCAGGAAAATAGTTCTATCCTACACAATTACTCGCTAACAAAGGTTATTTGTCCAATTCAATGCATACTGTATGCATTATTATTATTATTATTTTTGTTAAATAAACAAAACCACTGGTAAATAAAATGCACCTTAGTATCGATATTTTTGGTTTGAGTATCTTTCGATACTCGCGTCAGTATCGGATCGATACGCCCATCCATACTTTCAGAGAGCATGCGCACAACGAAGTTGAGTTACGAGCGTAATATCTAGTTATGTTTATAAAACAGACTTCATAAAAACAGTAATGGTACGATTTAGGTCTGACTAAATTATTGCTGACTGACATTGAGCTTTTAAAGTACAGGTAAATGCATAGAGATTTGTACTCGGTCACAGAAGCGAGACAAACTAAACTGGAATTTGAGATTTGCTCTGGATTGGCTGTGTGTGCAGTGCAGCAGTTAACGTCAGCCAGCAGACATACAAGCATCAACACGTGCGCGGTACACGCCCTCAACTTAAAACGGGTCATTATTTAATGAGTTTCTCCTTTCTGTACAGGAGGGCTGTTGTTCAACACGGCAGGTCAGATGTGTCGTGTTTTATGCACGTGTGTGTAAAGATCATGCTTGTAACAGGACATCATTCTTGCATTTCACCCCAGTGTCATTTTGGCAGGAGTCAATAAAAGGTCTTAGAAAGAGGACTGAAATTAGTTCTTTTTTAGACTACTTTACGGTGGCCGAGAGGTGCAGAACAAATCACAATTCTGAAAACAAAATAACAAATTACAAACGCAAATGCAAGTCTACAAAACAAAATAACAATTCAGAAAGCACAACAACAATTCAGAAAACATTATAACAAGTCAGAAAACACAACGACAAAT